ACCTCTGCACTTCCACGAGGAATCACTGGGATGTTGGATTAGAGGGTTGGGTTTGCAGCAGGGTCCGTTTTGGTAAACGATAAGCTGAATTGATGTCCTAACGATCATATAACGCGAAGGAGCTTGGGACTAAACCCACGGTCTTCTGCTCAGTAAGCAAAAACGTTTGCCACTAGGCAGACGAGCACCTTTTTAATCACCGAGTTGCTGTTATTACCATGTAGTCATATTAACAAATAAAACGATTGACGAATTTTGAATGTGGATGGGCCTGAGATTAGACTTATGATGTTCTGCTCAGTAAGCAAAAACGCACATAATACCGTTGCTCAAATTTGTGTATCCATTCAAACCCGGAGAGAACGACAACAACGAGTTTCGCAAAATACACGATACACAAGCTATTTTACCATAAATCTCTTTGATATGTAAGGACCTGGGACAGCGTTTTTCTGCTCAGTAAGCAGGCCACTGTAACCGACGATCTTTCAAATCCGAAAACTAAAAACTACGAAAAAGTACTTAGGCCTTCATTAAGTTCCACTTTCACGCGACGTTCAATGACAGGGTCCTATCCAGGATTACATCTGAAAAATCCAAATCTGGCCAACGCCCACCTAAACCTGTTCTAATCCACCTGAAATGACTAACGAATGGAAGACTTTGACTACCCAGCCATACAATAGTCTCATTCCGTGCCTTATGGCAACTTGATGATTCTATTGCGCTCATCTTTTGGCACCACCCAGGGGAGACTTGGTGCTGTACGCAATGCTTAACTTATCTCCATTCCACTCAGCTACTCGCAATTTCTTGTGATATAGTGGGCGGAATATTATTATATGAGACAATTCAATGCAGACGTCTTTCCAAATTTGGCAGATCGACAGGTAATCGGTGAGTTGCCACGATAGTTGCTATTCAACAACTCGACAACGATTAAGAATTAATCTGACTCTTAATGTTGGAGGAGTCATGCTCTTAAAGTGGCTTTATATTTATTTCCACTAGTGTACTTCTAATGATCACTTAGGGCCTAGACAATTAATCATTCAATTAATAAAAAAATCCAAGAGAAACTGAAAAAAAAACGTTACCGTTAAACTTAAGCATTTTGAAAGAATTTAAGAGATTTCCGAAAGGGTTTCAAAAAGGACATTTCACAGTGAATTTTGATTATTAATTCTCAAAATTTCTGAGTAGCGTTCCAGAAGATCCTGACATAGAACAACACTTGGAGATAGTAAAATTTGACAAAGAATTGCGTGTAAAAGGCTTAGAAATTACTTAAGATTCTCACTTTAATCATTTGAAAACATTAGCACTACCTTGGGTTTAAAAACTTTTCAAAATCTAGAGCATTGCTATTTTTTAGATTTAACTCTTAAGTTTTGGTACCTCGAACTAAGAAAAAGTTAAAAATTTCGAGCTTGATGAATTATTCAAGATTATTATAGAATTATTTGAGATAATGGATTTAGGATATTCTTATAGAATTCAAAATTTAAGTTTAATTTAAAAATAAGTTTTCACATGTACATGTACATATTTAAATTTCATATACCTGAGCACATGTAAAAATATATTTTAGGTTGAAATAAAATTTCCGGTTTTCCAGGCTCAGCGACAACCCTCTATTACTTATAATAAAAAAAAAACTAGTTGCAGGAAAAGCTGTACCCAACAACCTGCTAGTCCTAACGGGACGTTACAAGAAATCAGTTCTGCAAAAGATCAGAATTGAATCCTTAGGTGATTCAAAAGAGATTTTAGGTGAATTTTAAGGATAATTTAAAGATGATTCTTATAAGAATAAAAAAAAATGGGTTAATGACCCATTGACTGTTTTTGGCAACCAAAATTTGAACATTAATTTCATCAAAACACATCACTGAATGCATTTTACCGATTCCTTAGACTTTGAGCCTCAATCTGATTAAATTTGTACGTCTAAGAAATCTTGTTATGCCAGAATTTTACTATCCTGAAGTATACGCTCTACAAAATGCGATTGATTTCTAGTTGCCGATAATAGAACAGGTGGTTAACACGCAGTCCAAATGGAAAGGTTGCCGAAGAAAAAGAAGCTACCGACCAAAGTCACACTCACCTGAGAAGTTTGGAGCGTTGTTTAAATGAAAATGCTAAAAGAAGCACGAGAATGTGTAAATTCCCCTTGAAGCATAGTTTAAAGGGTATTTTCTGCGGTTTATTTCAAAGGAATACTGAGGAAGATTAAAAAAAAAATATTCAAAGGGAACTCCGATAAAAATATTAAAGCAATCGTATTCTAGTTAAAATAAAAACCAAATTGAGGAGAAGAAGAGAAATTAGATGATAATTTTGAGGATTTCTTAGGAGAGTGTTGAGTTGAAAAAAAAAACATTTCAAACAGAATTTCAAAGGAATCTAATTGTCTGAAAAGTAGGAAAGGAATTTTAAGAAGCATTCCGCAAACATAATTTTGCATATAGAACCATCTATAATAATCTTTTTTTCTGGATGCTTCTTTTAGAATCATTAGAAGCTTCGTTAAGAAGCTTATTCTAGAAGTTTATTTTAGTAGCTTATTTTAGAAGGTTCTTGTGATAACATGACGTAGTTTTCAAGAGGGTGGTTGAGAATTTGTATGCATATGTGACAGAGGAGGTTTATTTTGCGTGACATAATTAATGAACGCTTCCAAAATGGTGTGTGTTTATGAAACTCCAATCTGCTATAAAGAGTATATCAGCGCCTTGCTTTTGTAATAAATGGCTTTAGCCGTCGATTGCTCGCCAATAGAAGCTAACGCATGCAAATTAATGACTTAATCAGGTAGGGGAATGTTTCTTCTACCAACTGGCATTGTTAATTAGAAGGAGTGTGCGTTTATTAAAGACACTTTTGGTGGTTGAAGTTATTGTTTACAAAAGAAGGTTTACCCTAATGCAATGATGGTACTGATATGGTAAAGATCATATGAAAACTAATGGAAACATAATAATAAAGGGTGATACGGTCAAAATTTGGTCAAGGGAAAACACGTGTAAATCGGTGAAATCGTTTATTTAAAAAATCAAATTAAATTTCTTTTTCAAGTTCAATTAGTATAACATTCAGGAAAAATATTCAGTTAGGCTTCTGCTTTTCCAAATCCGAATTGCCGGGCCTTACGCTTGACCCCTGCCATCAGATTTTGTACAGCCACCTTGTCCACCTTCTTCGCCGCAGAAAGCCAGTTTGCCTTGAACTGCTGCTCGCCCTTAGCAGTTTTTTGGTCTTCTTTAGGTTCCGCTTGACAATAGCCCAGTATTTCTCAATTGGGCGGAGCTCTGGCGTGTTGGGAGGGTTCTTGTCCTTGGGAACCACCTGCACGTTGTTGGCGGCGTACCACTCCATGGCCTTTTTACCGTAATGGCAAGATGCCAAATCCGGCCAAAACAGTACGGAACAACCGTGTTTCTTCAGGAAAGGCAGCAGACGTTTATTCAAACACTCTTTCACGTAAATTTCTTGGTTGACAGTCCCGGAAGCTATGAAAATGCTGCTTTTCAAGCCACAGGTACAGATGGCTTGCCAAACCAGATATTTCTTTGCGAACTTTGACAGTTTCATGTGCTTGAAAACATCTGCTACCTTTCCCCTTCCTTTTACCGTATAAAACTCCTGTCCCGGAAGCTGCTTGTAGTCGGCTTTGACGTAGGTTTCGTCATCCATTACCACGCAGTCAAACTTCGTCAGCATCGTCGTGTACAGCCTCCGGGATCGCGCTTTGGCCGTCGTATTTTGTTTATCATCGCGATTTGGAGTCACTACCTTCTTGTAAGTCGATAGTCCGGCTCGTTTTTTGGCTCGATGCACGGTTGTAGACGATACACCCAGCTTATTTGCGGCATCTCGGAGAGAGAGGTTAGGGTTTCGCTTGAAACTACCGGCAACTCTCTTTGTCGTCTCAGCGGCTTCCGGTTTTCGATTTCCCCCCGATCCAGACTTCCTGGCTGTCGACAAACGTTCCCCAAATACTTTAATTACATTTGTAACAGTTGATTTGGCAACTTTTAGCGATTTTGCCAACTTTGCGTGCGAGTAGCTCGGATTTTCGCGATGCGCGAGCAAAATTTTGATACGCTGCTCTTCTTGCTTGGACGGCATTTTGACAACTGAAGAGTGAATTCCAAAATCAAAATAGGAGCAACATTCTACACACACACACCTTCAAAATGAGGGGTGTTCAGGTTTTTTAAATGCAAAATTGAAAGAAATACGTCAAGTTGATATTGACCAAATTTTGACCGTATCACCCTTTATAATGTATTTTCATGTTTTTGAAGCTATTTGATCATCCTTGCCGGGTCACCAGGATCATGTACCACACTTCCACCTCACAAAACAACCCCATAAAGCCCCGAAGATTCTCATAAAATCATACAAGCCACTAAACATTGCTCAAGCACATGTAAATCATGAACCTCTTCCCCACAGTATTTGACTTCCATTCCTATAGAACTTGTGGGTGAGGAAACTGTGCTGGCCTAGCCACAAGAGGAGTTACTCCTCGCACTGTTTACTATTAATCCCGAATAACACTTGTATCGGACACTACCCCCTGTTTCGATCGATTGTCTGTTGCCAGGAAACGTAAAATGCTGCGCACAAAGTGTTTTTTAATTCGCATAGGCATAGGAATAGAGACTTACATCATTCTGACTCAGAAGGGTTCAACTAAGTTTAATCTTTAAAAATTGTTATATGATCGTCGGGGAACAGTAGAGAGAAGCTCACATTTAAATACCTTATAATCCAATCTACAAAAAAGAACAATACATACATGAATTCTGACGATAAAGATTACACAATCCTCGTCAAAAACTGCTTAGCAAAAAGTTTATCAAGAAGTATGTATTTTTCAATTCATATTATTTTTACAATAATTGCCTACGATCTTTTCCTTATCGCGCTCCCCAACATCGTAGCACACAAATCCTGATCGGATCCTTTTTATTTCTCTCCTTTTTCAGTTCTGGGAAATCATCTCCGAGGAGCATGGAATTGACGCAACCGGTATCTACCATGGCGAGTCGGATCTTCAGCTAGAACGTGTCAGCGTTTACTACAATGAAGCCTCAGGTTAGCTCAAGCATAGTTCCATTTGTGGTTTTCTTATACTTCCCATCTCGATCTTGATCGCCAATTCGCAATTAGCAATTTGCAATTTGCAATACCTCTCGACATGTGTCCAACGTGGATTCGAATGTGCAAAGCAGTGTTACACCGCGAGATCGCGTACATCTCGTATTTTTTGTTTGTTAGATCAATGATCCGTTAGCTTTCGCCGGTGCTTTTTCATTAAATCTCTCTACCTCGCTACTACTGTTACTAGCCAGCAGTATCGAGCGCCGTTGTCCATTGAGTTGCCGGTTGGTTCCGCTGTGCAACGAAGCGCGCACACCTTAATTGATGATCACGAATTTTAACCATCGATAATAGAACAGTACCGTAAATGAATTGTTGCACACTTATTTACCCGAATCGCGTCGAGGCACTTTGCAAAACTGATTCACCGCAGCACCGTGCGCGCACAACGTGATGCTCTTTCGGCGATCAATGGAACGGACACGCCCCGCGTAAACACTTGCCTCTCTCTCTGCGATATTAATAACTTCCGTTCCATTGCAATAAAATTCGCCAAAATCATTAGAATGTAATGAAGTACCATCGAGAAAACGTGCCTCGCGAGCTCGTGAAAAACGCAATTGCAGTATTTAGCGGTGGAGGAGTTGTTTTTGCCTTTCTCCCGGTCTCTGGCTGGACAATTTTGGGCGATCGTTAATCGTTAGAGAAAACCATTCGATGCCCATCGAGGGGAAATGAAGAGAATGTACATTTGTTGTTGAGTCATGATTTCCCAAGTTTCATCCGATTCATGTTCACCTTTGTTGGTTTGTGCCTTTTGCAGCCGTTTCCCGTTCGTCGGGTGGCAAGTATGTGCCACGTGCAATCCTGCTCGATCTGGAACCGGGAACCATGGAGGCCGTCCGCTCCGGAGTATACGGTAAGCTGTTCCGTCCGGATAACTTCGTGTTTGGCCAGTCCGGTGCTGGTAACAACTGGGCCAAAGGACATTACACCGAGGGTGCCGAGCTGGTCGATGCCGTGTTGGATGTTGTCCGTAAGGAGTGCGAAAATTGCGATTGTTTGCAGGTATGAGATTCTTCTACTACTGGAAGTTTGATTCGTTGTTAATGCATAACTTTATTTGTAGGGATTTCAACTGACTCACTCGCTGGGTGGTGGTACTGGATCCGGTATGGGAACGCTGCTGATTTCGAAGATCCGTGAGGAATACCCAGACAGAATCATGAACACATACTCGGTTGTCCCATCGCCAAAGGTATCCGACACGGTTGTGGAACCATACAACGCTACTCTGTCGATTCACCAGCTGGTCGAGAACACTGATGAAACATACTGTATTGACAACGAAGCTCTGTACGATATCTGCTTCCGAACTCTGAAGGTGCCAAACCCTAGCTACGGTGATCTGAACCATCTCGTTTCGCTGACCATGTCCGGAGTTACCACCTGCCTGCGATTCCCAGGTCAATTGAACGCTGATCTGAGAAAGCTAGCCGTCAACATGGTTCCGTTCCCACGTCTTCATTTCTTCATGCCTGGATTTGCGCCACTTACCTCTCGTGGTTCGCAACAGTACCGTGCCCTGACCGTTCCAGAACTGACCCAGCAAATGTTCGATGCCAAGAACATGATGGCCGCTTGTGATCCACGACATGGACGCTACCTGACCGTCGCTGCCGTTTTCCGAGGACGCATGTCGATGAAGGAAGTCGACGAACAGATGCTGGCCGTCCAGAACAAGAACAGCAGCTACTTCGTTGAATGGATCCCGAATAACGTCAAGACCGCCGTCTGTGATATTCCTCCAAAGGGACTGAAGATGTCGTCAACCTTCATCGGAAACACCACTGCCATCCAGGAACTGTTCAAGCGTATCTCCGAACAATTCTCCGCTATGTTCCGTCGCAAGGCTTTCTTGCATTGGTACACTGGCGAGGGTATGGACGAGATGGAATTCACCGAAGCCGAGAGCAACATGAACGATCTGGTGTCCGAGTATCAGCAGTACCAGGAAGCGACGGCCGACGACGAGTTCGAGCAGGAAGAGTGCGCCGACGAAATGGAAGGCGAATGCGTCTAAACCAACCGCCCCGGAGGCATCCAACGGTTGTCGAGAAGCATTTTTACTATTTATTACTTTTAGTTAGATAAATCGAACCGATGTTTTATGTGTACACAAACCGAAGAAATAGTCTTTATGGAAATTCTAACAATTCATCTAATCTCGGATCTCAGCATACTTACTAATAGACACTACAGTACTACTCCCCGGTTTTGGTGTTCAAAATCAACGCAATCCAATTTCCCGGCAAACCAAACCCACACATCGACACATAACAATCATCATTCAAACTAATATTGTGTAAGTAAGAGAGCGAGAGTGTGAGATAGTGTTGAATTTGTAAGCGGAGACCCAGACTTTTTCCACCTTCCGGGCCCAAAACTGCAGCGAAACTCGATTGCATGAAAGTCAACATTCAGGCAATATTTCTGAGGGAAAGAAATACCTTGCGTTACTGAGAGGTTACGACTTTCATGCCACCGCCCAGCCAGGAGGGGGGTGGAGGATAGAAATGCTAGGTAACTCCAAAGTTGAAGTTACGAAGACGGAGAGTGAATAACGATCATGCTGCCAATCGAACGTTGTTTGTGGACCATTTTGCTGCTTGCTATACGATTCATTTGCATCATTCATCTAGCAATAAATCCAAAGATTTTGTTTGTTTGTGAAAAGAAATTTCGGTTTAACGTCAAATATCAGCCAATCTTTTGTATTTATAATTCGTTCTCTCTAGGCAAGAACAATCAATATGAATATCGTCGTTCTTAAATCTTTGATCTATCGCTATTTGATATTTATTTTTTGGATATTTAGAAACAGTTATCTGAAAATACAGGAATTGTCAGTTTTATTTTGAATGATAACTAAGAAGAAGAAAAAAATACGATTTTAGGCGACACAGACATACTTACCTATACAGTCAAACGTACACGCATACATCGATACAAATCGACATGACGATCTGGGACAATTGAAAAGTGTTAGTACTTGATACGGATCAATAAAAACATATTTTGTATTTATTTGTAACTACGGTTGTGAATTATTATCGATGACATCCTGAAATATAGTAAAGGCTTGACACTGCTGAGGATTGTGGCAAAAAAAAAACCCTCCCCCAACCCACACTGTCTACGTGGTTTGTAAACAGCTCCAAGAGCATACGGTTCTATCTGCGTGGATCGATTCACTTCATCGACTTTCTCTTTCGTTAATTACTCAACTGCAACTGATGGCTGCAGTATTGTGTACAATGAAGACAATTTTCACTTGATCGATGACAAACACCTTTTGTCTATTTTATTAAATTGACCACTTTGTGCCAAACAGGTTTTTCTAGACGCTAGTTGTATTTTTTTTATATTTTTTATCTTTAATATTATCAGAGTTACAGTTACAGAATCATAAATGGGCCTATAAGTAGGTTTAGTTTATGTAAAAAAAAGATTGGACTTTGAAACAATTCTAAATATTTTTTAACTCGATTTAATGGAGACCTGGGACCATTTTTTTAGATTTTGATTTCAATGCAATCATTAAGGCTGTGGGACTTCAGTAAATATTTTAAAAAAATTGGGACGAATATAAAAAGAAATCTATGGATGGCCCTTATTATTCACAGAATATATTAAGAATTCTCAGTGTAATTCCAAATTAGTTCTGAGGACTTCAATGGTGATTATGAGCAGAACTTCAAGCGAAATATAAGGATTGCTTCCAATGACCGCCGAACTCCGCATGAATCTTAAGAATAAATACCTAGGAAAAAAATGGAATAATATTTAGGTTTCAAAGAAATTTTTAAAGTAGTTGGCATTGAATCTGGCATTGAAGGGCGAATTTCAGGAAAGAATAAAACTTCAGAGAAGTTTTTAGTTCAAAGAGGACGCATCTGAATTTATGGAAGCTCCCTTTAAATCGATTTTCGGCTTCAACTTTTTTGTTTGATTATTCAAAAAAGTTCAAAACAGTTTGTTATTTTTCAAAAACCACACAACTTTTCAAAAACCTATTAATTTGTTTGAACATCTCAAGACACATTCTAACTCGGAAAACGCCTAAATGTATGTATCACCTAATTAATCAATGCTGATCAACCAATGATTTTTTGTAATTTTCGATAACTTCTAGCGATTGGATCTGCTTAAAACGTTTCAGAAATTAAGTTTAATTATTACTTTAACTAACTCTTTGGTTATTTTGGTGCTACAAGAATTGTTGACATGCTTAGTAATGTTTCGAAAATGACCAATTTCCCATACATTTTTGTATGGCGTCCTTATATTTATTTCCGAAGGAGAAAATCACATTTTCATTTATTTCCCCTGCGTACATGATGCAATTGGTTATTTCTATGGGTGATATTGTAGCATGATAATGTGGCTTCCAAAAATACATGGTTTAGAATTCCTCTGATTCTTATATTTGGTAGGCGCCATGCTTTTTTATGTGTCTTTATATTTATTTCCACTAGTGTATATGTTTCCTGCTTTCAATGCTGGCAATAAACGGGATATTAAGAACTATCGAGGTATCACTTGTCTTTCGGCAGCGTCCAAACTGAGTTCATCTTGAGCGAATTTGTCCTGAATCGCTCGAAGAACTACTAGCAGCTTCTAACCTTTTGGATTTCATATATACTGTTCTGAAAGCCGCATTCGACAAAATTGACCAGAAGGTTTTGTTATGCAAGCTTTCCCGACTAGGAGCGTCTGAGCAACTTAGGTCGTGGTTACATTCCTACTTGGCTGGACGAACTCTTCGAGTACGACTAGGATCTTATGTGTCTCTTCTACGTTTATCAGCACCTCTGGAGTACCTCAGGGAAGTAACCTGGGTCCACTTTTGTTTACGTTATTGTTCAACGATGTAGCAGCTTTGTTGGGAGTTAAATGCAAGCTCGTTTATAAGATGATATTAACCCTACGTTACTCGCGCTGTTGTACTTTGTACAACACACATGAGTTTTCCATTGCCATTTTGTTGCTAAGTTACCAACGAGTATTCCTCAAAATACTTGTTTTGATCGAAACAAGCTAAACTTTGATTACAAAAACACCTAAAAATGCGGATAATAGGGAAAATGTGAATGGAAACCGCGTAAACTGTGACCATACTACGTGGGATTTTACTTCATTGATTACAATATGGAATATATCGAGATCCTGACCGGATAGAAAGTTACTGTCTCCGACAAAGTTGTTCAGGAGATTATAGTCTTGTCGCTGGTGGACAGTAGTTCAGAATTTTCTCACTAAGTAGCGCTAGTATACATGTGAAATTTTCACGTATAAAATATCTCGAGATCCTGACCAAATAGAAAGTTACTGTCTTCGGCAAAGTTGTTCATGAGGTCAAGGTCTTTTGGCTGGTGAACAGTAGTTCAGAATTTTCTCACTGCGCTGCACTAGTATACACGTGCAATCCTCATATATGCTACAGCTCGAGATCCCAAACAGCTCGAAAAATACTGTCTTCGGCAAAGTTGTTTAGGAGATCAAAGCTGTTTTGCTGGTGAACAGTAAATAGTTCAGAATATTTTCGGTATGCAGCGCTAGTGTGCATGTAAAATATTTGTATATGCTATAGCTCAAGATCAGGAAGTAACTGTCATTGTCAAAGTTGTGCATGCGGCAAAGTTCTTCCGGATGGTGAACATGCAAATGTATTTTGTTCAAATTTCTCTCATTTTACGTCCAAGTTTTGATCTCCTTAGATTATTTTAATGGTATGAATGGTATAGCATAAGGGTACTACTACTTTAAATTTCAATTTTTTTCAAGTCTATTCTGAAAAAATCAATCATGATTCTTTAGAGTAAATTTTGAAAAATAGTGTAACTTTGGGTGAACCTTTGGTATGAAAAAATTGAAAATGATATTGAGCAATTTGCCTCTCATTCTTTCAAATGTTCTAAAAAGTACGGAAATTGGACGTTTTTAGAACGTGTCCTTAAACTTATGATCGGGAGTGTACGGTTTTATAAATTTCTCTATTCAACTGAGCAAAAGTGCCTCACTCTGAGTTAGTCTCGTTGTCCGTGCACACGTAAATACAGGGATTTTTTTTGTTCTAGACCCCTCGATAAGACATTTTGAAATTAGCCTCAAATGAAAGGGAGACTCTAAACATTCATTTGGTGGAAGTTTCAGCGATATTGATTTTTTAGGATAATGTTTTCCATCTAAGATACGTGTTACCACTAATTTATCAGAGGCATACAAATGGAACGACTCACAGGTAAAAGAAATTCAGAATATATTTGTCTTATCCCACTTAGGCTGATGTAAATTGTATTTTTATTTTATGATATTTGATATGCCAGAATTGCCCGCCAAATTTTGAGACATTTCTGAACTACAGTTAATCAGCCAAAAGAACTTTATCTTCTTAACAGCTTTGCCAAACACAGTAAATTTCTAGCTGTTCAGGATCTCGAGATATTATATATGTGAAGATTTCACGTATATCCTAGTGCCACGTAGTGAGAAAATTATGTACTGTCGACCAACGACAACTCCTGGACAACTTTGCCGATGACAGTTTAGCAGGTCTCGAAATATATCTAATACGAGAATTGCACGTGTTTACAAGCGCAATGTTGTGAAAAAAAAAGAATTTCTGTCCACCAGCAAAAAGGCCTTGACTCCTTGAACAACTTTGCCCAAGACAGTAACATTTCTATTCACACAGGATCTTGTGATATTTTATGTGTGAAAATTTCACGTGTATACTAGCACCGCTATGGAAATTATTAACTATTGTGCACCAAGCAATCATTGACCTCATGAACAACTTTTTCGAAGACAGTAATTTTCTACCTGTTCAGAATCTCAAGCTATAGCATACGCGACAACTGTACACGTTTAATAGCGCCATATGGTGAGCAAATTATGGGCTACTGTCCACCAGCCAAAAAGTCTTGACCCCCTGAACAAGTTTGCCGAAAACAGTAACTTTCTATCTGCTCATGATCTCGAGCTATTGTATATGAGCATTTCCAGCCCAAAACGCAAACCGGTTGGTCATGAGTGTTTCCGATTTGAATTAAACATTTCTCACGTGTTCGCTGCTGCTAATGGTTGCATTTTTCATTTAAATATGATTTTTTCCTCCAGAGTAACTTTTGAAAAGGGCGTATAAAAAAATAGATTATTTTTTTTCAAAAAATCATAACTTGAAAACTATTGATCTGATCAAAATGGCATATGAGAAGAAGTTTGAGGTAGTTAAATTATCTTTGCGAAAAAAAAACACTGAAAGAAAAACTTAGTAAATTAGTATTTAAAAAACGTAAAACGATGATTATCTCAAAACACCCCCCCTTCGATCTTTATAAATTTTTTTTTCAAGAAAACTGAAAAAATGCCCTAATATTTGATGAAGAGTGTATGCTGGTAACTTTCTTAAATTTTTTTTTATAATTTTTGAAATTTTTGTTGGTTTTTACAAGTTGGTGAAATTGCATATTTTTTAGTACACTAGTAATTTATTTGGGTTCTACGCATAATTTTCAAAAACATTGCATACATAAACTTTTTTCTTAAGTCCAGCCGTTCTCAAGTTAATGCAATTTAAAAAAAATAATTATAATAATTTTCTACATTTTGGGCCATTTTCAAATGTTAGTCGTGATGTCCAGCAACGAGATTTTTTTCCATGAATATATATTAAAAAACAGACAATTCATTCTCAAATATGGTAGCTGTCAGACTTACCCGTTTCTATTTAGACGCAGCAGAAAAGAAACAAGTTTATAAGTAAATACTCTCAAATATACCCAAATAATCAACAAACCCACTCATGTGCCTTTTTTCTGTCCTCTATTAGTTGTATACCTGGATAGAATTGTGTATGTCATAACAGAGGCTCAAAACATAAACAGGTAAACAAATATGTTATTAAACCTGTAATTGAGATAAATTATCTAGGTACTTCTCTGACGTATACCATATTGTGCCTTAAGAGCTCATCCCGCGATATCACAACTACATAAAAAGGCTTCTTACACTCACACTTAAAAAAGTTTG